TTGGTTTAATAAAAAAGTCACGACTTGGCTCGAGACCGACACATTTAAGTTTGTGAAAGTTCGACTCAATTTGTGTAATAAAGTTAACTCTTAAACGAGTCATTTACAAACAAGATTGCGTTGACTATTTTACTTAAAATTCATGTAAAATAAAAAGTAAAAAAATTGAAATGGGCTGGAGACAAACAAATTCTGCTCAGCTCGCCTCATTTTACTGACAAGTTTGATTAGGTATTCTAAATTTATAATTAGTTTGTTTTACTACACAAACGATTCGAACTCGAACTTTTACAAATCGAACAGAACTGTGTTTCACAATCTATTCGTTTCGTTTAAACAATTTTACGTGTCATTGGACACTAAAAATAAATATATTAAAATTATAAATAATAATTTAAAATTTTTTAAATTTATTCAAATTAACATTTAAAGTTCTTTAAACATGAAAATAATTGATGCTACTATTTTGAGTACACTTTTTAGTTGTGCTGTTCGACTGACCCCCAAAAAAATTTCCAAATCACAGACAGCGAGAACACAGCTCACGTCATCATAACCTTACAAAACCCTACGAAATTTACTAATAAAACCCCGCCGCTGCCATTTCCCCTCATATCTTCAATTTTCCCCCATTTTTTGCTTTTTAGGGTTTCTTATTATTATTTTTTTTGTTCGTTCTTTATCTTCATTTGTTGGGTTCCGTCTTTCTACCTCGAATCGCCATGAGCAACCCCGCTAAAAACAACTTTGATATGTCGAACTTGGACCTGTCTCTACCCGCCGCTGCCGCCGGTAATTTCACCTTTTCGCCGAATACTATTTACTTTGTGTGTGTGTGTGTATGTGTGTGTTTTTGGGGTATGGATTGAAGGTTTGGTGTTGATTTGATGTGCAGCTTTGAGTGAGGAGGATCGCTCTGATTTAGTGAATGCGCTCAAGGTTTTTTTTTTATTTTTCAGTTTTTCGCCTACTTTTGTTGTTGCCACTTGATTTTATGATGTTTCTGTGTTGATTAAGGTTTACAAACGTGCGCTGTAGGATAAACTGAGCAATCTGGCTGGGCAGCACGCAGAGGTTATGGAGAAACTGACCCCAAATGTGCGGAAGCGCGTCGAGGTGCTTAGGGAGATTCAGGTTTGTGTGTTTTTTTTTTTTTGGTTCTGTGTGTGTGTGTGTGTGTGCGTGCGCGTGTTTTTTCTTGTTTTGTTTCTTAAGTTCACTACCATTAGAGATTGAAGATTATATGAATATTGCTATAGGGTTATTAATTGGAATATCACCCATGACTGTTTAATTGATTGTCTACACTTTCTCTGGTTTTTAGTTCATGTTCCTCAGGTTTAATTGTCTGTTGGCATAAAACCCTGTATTTTAGCCGTGCTTGGTTTAATATGGTGATTATGGTTTTGAATAATGATTGGTGGTTCCTTATTGGTTTTTGATACCTGATATGTACCTTAAAACATTTATAATTTCTGGTGTCTGTCAACTCTGTCTTGGACTGTATTATATATATGACCTTCCTGTATGACAAAGCTACTTTGGTGCTGGGCCTCCATTATCCATGAGGCTACGCTTAAAAATCTGTAGTAGCTGTATTGTGAGAGTAAATAGATCTGGTCAATTGATGATGAAGTTCACCAACTTGACTAGTGAAGAAAAGTGGTTATGGTCAACTGGCCAGGCTAAGCATATTGCAATGCTTAAAGATTAGTTTGATAACACATTTGAATCCCAGATATTTGCAAGTCTGAGGTTTCATTAACTTTGGATTCGAGTTGATCTACGACTGGGTTAACGTAATTTGTATTTCATACTAGGACTACATATTTCCAGATAGGATGTATAGTTCTTGCGAGACATGGGGATAATTGTTGTTGTGGTATTCTAACACGAATTTTCATTGACAGGGCCAACATGATGAGCTAGAGGCTAAGTTTCTTGAGGAGAGAGCAGCACTTGAAGCGAAATACCAGAAACTTTATGAACCATTGTATACAAAGGTACGCACATTCTTATAAGCTAAGTAGTTTTTGTATGCCTCAAAAGTAGAGAACATTCTCATAACTGAAATATTTTCTGTATGTTCTTTTTACTGAATGCTGTTGTTGATATGCAATTATGTGTATTTTAATGTATGTAACTGGTTCAAATGGGAATCAATCCTTAATAGGTAGAATTTGAGATGTTGTGTTTGATGGGTAGAATTTCGTCTATAACGAATCATTTTTTCTTTCATTTCAAAATATGTACAGCGCTTTGAGATTGTAAATGGTGTTGTGGAAGTTGAAGGAGTGACTGATGCTTCAGCAGACCAGGGAGATGATAAAGCAAATAAGGGTAAACCAAGACTAGCTTCTCATCTGTTTTTCTTACTGCCCAACTACTGTTGAATAAAAATTTCATAATGGGCTGTATGGTGGTTATCTTGTGATACCTTACTGCCCTTCTAAATTTGGTTTATTTACAAGTAAACTGGTTTATTTATCTTCCCAGACAAAGGTGTGCCCGACTTCTGGCTGACAGCAATGAAGACAAATGAGATTTTGGCTGAGGAGGTTGCCTTTTTTTTCCACAATACTCTATTTTTTGTGCTTTGATGATGATGCTGAAGACTCGTTTTCTTTGTTTAGATTTCAGAACGTGATGAAGAAGCTTTGAAGTTTCTCAAGGATATCAAGTGGTCTAGGATTGACGATCCAAAGGGTTTCAAGCTCGAGTTCTTTTTTGATACGAATCCATTCTTCAAGAATACTGTGCTTACAAAAACATACCATATGGTTGATGAGGATGAGCCGATACTAGAGAAAGCAATAGGGTAACTTTTTATTCAATATCTCTGAAGTTCTAGCTTGTTATTTTACTTTGTTTGTTTTTCTTTTCTTCCTCCCACCATTGTTTGGAAAATTTACTGAATTGGGAATGATTTGTATCTAAAATTGGATATCTTGCAGGACACAGATCGAATGGTATCCAGGCAAATGCTTGACTCAAAAGATTTTGAAGAAAAAGCCAAAGAAGGGGGTAAAAAATGCTAAGCCAATAACAAAGACTGAAAAGTGTGAAAGTTTTTTCAACTTCTTTAGCCCTCCAGAGGTTCCGGAAGATGAAGAGGACATTGATGAGGATGAGGTGAGGGTGGTTATTTCACCACATGCTAATTTTTTATCACACGAAACCTGAATCTGCTTAATATTTACTATCCATGTTCAATTATACCTTATCTGGTGTTATTTGTCATGATAGGCTGAGGAACTCCAGAATTTAATGGAGCAAGACTATGACATTGGGTGAGTCTCATGTTCCATTTTGAGATTAGTACATAATTGGATGTAACATGAAAATTCTTTGTTTACTCCTGCATTAAGGCATCATATAATATATTTATCCTCTACCACTAATTGTTTTGTTCATACAAACATAATTTTTACTCTCTACAGCTCAACTATTCGGGATAAGATTATTCCTCATGCTGTATCATGGTTCACTGGGGAGGCTGCTCAAGATGATGAACTTGATATGATGGAGGATAATGACGGTGATGATAATGATCACGAAGATGACGATGATGATGATGAGGAAGAGGATGAAGATGAGGACGATGATGAGGATGATGATGAAGACGAAGCTCCTGTCAAGTTCTCAAAGAAGGTAAAATAGATCAATCTTAAAAAGGGGAGCTTCAGAATTTTCACTTGGGGTGATACTTACATTATTTTTTTATTTTTTTATTTTTCTCTACGTTCTGTTGCTTGAGAAACTTCAGCCATCTCGACCGAAGGTATGTAAAATTTCTATATAACGCGTCTGTTTAACGTTCTGTAGTGTTCATTTATGTGTTTTATCCAGCTTCTTGGGATTTTTTTTGCAACAGAGAGGTGTGGGCCGTGTGAAGGGACGAGCTGGGGAAGGTCCACTGGGCGAACGCCCTGCCGAGTGCAATCAGCAGTAAGGCTGTGGAATTTTTCAAAATTTCCGGTCCCTGCATTGTTCGTCTTTACGGATTGGTGTCGGTTTTATGGTGGTTGAATGGAAATTTTTTATTTGGGAGCCTTATATATTTATTAGATCATGAATGAATGGGGTTGTACTTTGTTTGGTTTTGGTTCAATCTATTTTTTCTGTGTGATGCTTTTGCTGAATGAATGGGGGGTTATTGCTTGTGGGTTTTGTATTATATGAGTCAGAGTTGCTTCTATGAATTTTGGGAAACGAGATTGATTAATGATGAGATTATATCAAGCAGCGAGCCTTGTGCATTTTTAAACTTATTTTAGAGTACTTTATTTTTTCTAATACAATTGTTATCTGATATCGACAAATTTCAG